AAAAGCACCTGGACAGCAACTTTCAAGAAATTATCAAGGAAAAATGGCCTGATGTCCTTGAACCAGAGGGCAAAAAAGTAATTGAAAGAATACACCAATCACCTCTTGAAAGAGATCCCAAAAAGAAAAGTCCTGGGAATATTATAGCCAAATTCCAGAACTCTGAGGTCAAGGAGAAAATAGTGCAAGCAGCCAGAAAGAAACAATTCATATATTGAAGAACTGTAGTTAGGATTACACAGGATTTAGTAGTTTCTACATTAAAGGATTGAAGGGCTTGGAATTGGATATTCTGGAAGCCAAAGGAGCTTGGATTACAACCAAGAATCAACTATCCAACAAAAACTGAGCATAAATCCTTCAGTGGAAAAAATGGATATTCGGTGAAATAGGGGACTTTCAAACATTTCTAATGAAAAGACCAGAACTAAGTAGAAAATTTGGCTTTCAAATACAAGACTCAAGAGAAGCATTAAAAGGTAAACAGGAAAGAAAAAAAGATATTCAGTAAGGTTAAATTGTTTACATCCCTACATGACAAGATGATAGTGGTAACTCTTAAGAACTGTATCTCTGTTAGGGCAGTTAGAAGGAATATACACAGACAGAGACATAAACAGACTTTGATGGGTTAATATTAAAAAAATTAAGGAGTGAGAAAGAGGATTGCACTGGGAGAAGAGAGAACAGAAAGGTAGAATGAGGTAAATTATATCACATAAAGAGACCTGAAAGACCTATTACAGCTATCTATAGTCATATAAAAATGCTCTAAATCACTGTTGACTAAACAAATGCAAATTAAAACAACTCTGAGGTTTCACCTCACACTTATCAGATTGCCTATTATGACAGTAAAGGAAAATAATAAATGTCGGAGGGGATATTAAAAAATTGGGATACTAATGCACTTTTGGTGGAGTAGTGAACTGATTCAGCCATTCTGGAGAGCAATTTGGAACTATGCCAAAAGGGTTATAACACTGTTCATACTCTTTGATCCAGCTACTAGGTCTGTATCCTGAAGAGATTTTTTAAAAAGGGGGTAAGGGCATATTTGTACAAAAATTTTATAGCAGCTCTTTTTGGTGGCCAAGAATTGGAAATTGAGGGGATGCCCATCAGTTGGGGAATGGTTGAACAAGTTGTGGTATATGAATGTAATGGAATATTATTGTACTATAAGAAATGAGCAGATGAGTTTCAGAAAAACATGGAAAGACATATGTGAACTAATGCCAAGTGAAGTAAGCAGAACCAGGAGAACATTGTACATGGTAATAGCAATACTATATGATGGTCAACTGTGAATAACTTTGGTATTCTCAGCAATACAATGATCTAAGACAATTCCAAAGGACTCATGATGAAAAATGCTGTCCACCTCCAGAGAAAGAAATGGTGGAGTCTGAATGCAGATAGAAGCATACTATTTTTCACATTCTGTATTTTTTTCATGTTTTTTTCCCTTTGGTTCTGTGTCTTTTTTCACAACATGACTAATAGTGTAATATGTTTTGCATGATTGAACATGGATAACCTATATCAGATTGCTTACTATCTCAGGAAGAGGGGAGGTGAAGAAGGGAGAGAGAAAATTTGGAACTCAAAATTTAAAAAAAAAAAGAGTGTCTTTACACATAACTGGGGAAAAATAAAATTATTTTTGAAAAATAGAATTCCCTATTTCCCCCCAAAACCTATCCCTCTTCCCTATTTCTATTGAGTTCTATTGAATTCTATGACTATTCTTCCCAGTTATCCAGAATTACAACCTTGGGGGTCATCCTCATCTTCACACTTTCTCACCCTACATATCCAATCAAGTCTTGCCAAGTCTTGTCATTTCTTTATCTCTTGCATGTGTCCCCTCTCTCTATTCATATAGTTATTGCCGTAGTTAAGACCTTGAGAAGCCTTAGGAGGCATCAAATTCAGCCTAAGTATTTAATCTACAATACTGTTGACAAGTTGCCATCTGACTTCTGCCTGAAGACCTCCAGTGAAGGGGACAGTCCAGTATTTCTTGAGACATCCCATCCTACTTGTGGGAAATTCTAATTGTTAGGAAGTTTTTCCTTATATTGAATAGGAAGCTATTGTCTGCAACTTTTACTCATTGTTCTTGGGTTCTATCTTCTAAGACCAAGCTGCCCACATTAGTCCTGAACATACTGGAAGAAAGCTATCATGTATTCTCTAAATCTGTTCTCCAATTTAAGTATCTTACTTCCTTCAACCCATCCTTGTATGATATGGTATACATTGCTCTCACCATCCTGGTTACCCTCCAGCTTGCTATTTTTCTTCTTAAAATGGAATATTCAGAACCAATTAAAAGTATCCCAATACTATTGAAAAATAAAATCATCCTTAAATCATGTCTAGATTCTAACCAAGAAGGAATACCCCAGAAATAGCATCTCTCATTATTTATCATCTTCCTTTCAGTGAATCCTGCTATCATTATCTTTTTTTATTACCATGTTACACTATTGATTCATACTGAGTTTAAAAGCCACAAAAAATGCTCCAGTGTTTTTCCATATGAACACCTATAAGTTTCATCTAATCAAAGCACTTCTAGAATTTCATCTAAGCATGCTTTACAATGTGTTTTAAACTATTTTTCTTAGTGCTTGCTTATGATCAGATTATGGTAAAAAAAAAACAACTTAAATTTGGGAATAGGGAGAGATTGTTCAGAATTTATCTAGCTTGCTTGGATTTGATTTTTCAAATCAAACGATGGACTTTGAATGCCAAACAGCATTTTGTATTTGATCCTGGAGGAGGTAGGTCAGACCTATGTTTTAGGAATAGAATATGAATTGGAGTTGGAATATGGATGGAATATGGAGGAGAGAGTTGAGGCAGGCAGAACCTCCCTCTCCCCGCTACCCAAGCAGGCTATTGCTGTATTCCAGACAGAAAGTGAGGAGAGCCTGCACCTGGTCATGTCAGAAGAGAAGAGGACATATATGAGAGATGTGGCAAAGAAGAAATCAGCATGCATTGGCAACAAATTGGATGTGGAAAGTGAGAGATATTGAGCATTTAACATTGTTAAGCATCCTGCCCTTCTGGATTCCCTTTCCAGACACTTTTTATGTTTTAATAGATCACTGTTGTGGCTCTTCTACTGTCTTACTCATCTTTCATCAACTTTGTAGGATCATCATCTACATCCCATCCCTATGTGTGTATGTACCCCAGGGCTCTGTCCTGGGCTGCTTTTCCTTATTTTATCATCTCCAGTAATAGTACTTTCCATAGATCCAATTGTTACCTTAATGCATATCTCTTCCAGAGCTACATATTTTAGCCCACACTTTTCTCCTGAACTCCAGTCTGGCATTTCCACCTGGATGTCACACAAGCATCCCCAAATCAGTATTTCTAAAATACAACTGATTATCTTTCCCTTTAAATCTTACCCTTTCTCCTAACTGTTCTTCCAGTCACCCTGGTTCATAACCTAGGAGTCATCCTTGACTCTTTACGCTCACTTTTGTAGCTAATCAGCGCCAATGCTTGTTGCTTTACCTCCACAGCATTTCTCCCAACCACCCTTTTCTGTCTACCCACCCCACAATTACCCTAGTTCAGGCCCTCACCATTTACACCAGGACTATTACAGTAGCATCCTAATTGATCACCCTGCATCCTCTTTTTTTTTTTCCAATTCATTCTCTACACAGCTGCCAACTACAAGTCTGACCAGGTCATTTCCCTGCTTTAATTTCATTGGTTTCCTGTTGCCTCTAGGATAAAACACAAACTCCTCCGTAAAGCCCTGCAAACTGTCTAGCCTGTCATTTCAGACTAATTACACACTATTCCCTTTTCTACACTTTGTTCCATTCACATGACCTACTTGATAATAGAATATAAGTTCCTTGAGGTGAGTTCTTTGACTTTTAAATTTGTATTCCCAGTGCCTAGGGCCCGACTTCCAGTGCAAGTGATTTCCAGTGCAACTAGTTGGGTGCTAGTGAACTAGGGACTGGCTTTGAAATACCTCTGAAACTACAGAGTTTGTAATCTCTGCCTTCAGGAAGCTTTAATCAATTTGTTCAACTAAGACAACTGAGAGTTATTAAGCACTTTCTGTGTTCCAGGCCCTGGGATTAGTGCTAGGAATACAAATACTGACTAAAAAGACAGTCTCTGCCTTCAGGGAGTTTATTTTTTAATGGGGAAAGACCACACAAAAAAAGGGGGGTAATTTTCTGGCCAGGGGCACAGTGCCTAAGTGCAGAAAGTCAGAAGCACAGCCAAGAGGTGACTGAAGGCTGGCTAGCCTGAGCCCCTCCACAAAATGGAAGCTCTAAGGAGAATTCACCAGTGGCAGAGAAGGGCTTGTATAACGGGAATATTCTTTCACCCCATCTACTCAGTCGCTTGCCACATCTTGTGACTTCACCCTTCCCACCATCACTTATGTCCTCCCCCGTCTCTTCACTTAAATCACAAGCAGTGTAGTTCAGGCCTTGAAGATGACTTCTTACCTCGCCAATTGCTATACTACTTGACTTCCCAGATCCCTGTACTTTTGACTGTCCTCACCCCTCTCCCATCTTACCCTTGAATCCACTCTGCCTCTGGGAATCCAGGCTGTGGTAGGGTCACTTTTGTCTTACCTTGCCTGGAAGCACATCACCTTCTGGCTATTTACAAACCATGTTGCCTCCTCTCTATCGCACCTTTTTGTGTTGTCTTCTCCACTTAGGATGGAGCTGGAGGGAAAGGGGCTGTCTTGCTTACTTATATCTGTATTCCCTGTCACTTAGCACAGTGCCTGACCCATAGTAAATATTTTCTCATTTATCATAAAAAACCTGTTTAATATGTGAAAATAAATTTTGAGTGATTTTAAAACCTCTGGTGTTTGAACAGAAGATATTCTAGTAGCATGAAATATTTACTAGGATTTTCCTTAACGGTGTATATACTTAGGAATCCAAATGTTTTTGAAAATGTTTTTGTTTTTTGTACAGACTGTCGCAACTTCAGCATATTGTCCTAAAAAAGGAGGCATAACTATTTATGCTGAGCCAGATGTACAGGCAGAAAGGTACGATTGAGAATTCAGCAAAGTTGCTTATGGAACTAAATTTAGCTATCTTAATCTCATAAGAGGTACAGGATAACTCTACAGGAAATTGTCCTGATTTTCAAAAAGGCTAAAGGGTGTATTTTAGTAACTGTGCAGCAAAACAAATGACAAAGTCTCTTAAGTAATCTAGACAATAAGTCTATTAAACAGATTTGAAATTAGTTGAATATTAGTTAATGGCTTTAAATGTAGTGGACTCTTTAGTTTTTATTTAAGGTTTGCAAAATGGCCCTGGGCTTGACCCTATCCTCAGCAATGTTTTTATCAGTGCCTTTGATGAACACACCATTGGGTTCCTTATTAAATTTGTAGATGGATAGAGCAGCAAAGGATAATAAATATGATAAAAGATAGAATCCAGATTTTCAAATTTGGCAGTCTGGAACTACATGTTAAAACCAGGAAGATGAAACAGAATAATTATAAAAGATATGTAAATTCTTAAACTAGGACTTCAAAATGTAATTCAACAAAAGTTTGTACAAATAGGTATTGAGAGTGATTATAAAAATGAATGTGGTTTCTACGGCTCCCCTCCATTTTAGGGGTAGACAGGGGTAGGGAGCAGATGATGAGAGACTAATAACTATAATATAAGCTAAATGTTATAAAAGAGGTGTAGACAGAATACTCATGGGAACATAGTACAGGGTGTCACATAGAAATCACTTAATAAATGCTTGTTGATTGTTGATCTGTTTTGACAACAGTTAATGTCAAAGAAGTGAAAGTTTTCATTTGACCACAGACTTTTACCTGAGTCAGTATTTTATGGCAGTTATTTTTTAAAGTGAGCATAATCTTAAATTCTGTTAATAAAAGTAAAACATTCATATCATGGGACATAGACTTAATTCCTATCTTGTTATGTCCAATGCTGGTTTAGTGTGTTACCATAAGAGAGATATATAGATGATGCTGAGTCCAAAAGATGACAGAGATGGTGAGGGATTGGTCTAGAAACCATATCATGCAGGAAAAAGTGGTAGAAGCGAAGACCGTTTACCCTAGAGAAGACATGTGGGTGAATAATTATAATGCATCACTTGTGAGAGAAGTAAATACAAATTGGGAGAGATCCCATAGGGTCAAATGTAGCCAGCAAAGGCTACATGATGGAAGTGGCATTTAAGCTAGGCCTGGAAAGATGGAGGAACATTTCTTGGCAGACATTTTGGAGGCCACTGCAGGAATTTCTACAACAGTATAAAAGATGGCCTAAAGGTAGGAAATCCTGGGACACTTTAGAGAAGTAGTCACAGCCCAATTTAGACAGTGTCAGTTTTATCAGATAAATGAGGTGGTGACATATTCTTTAAAAAGCTATTTTCAATGTTTTTGACATGTTTATTTATAACATGTTCTCATAAGAACTTTCTTTTAAAATTTCTAGTTCATGTCAGAAGTTAAATGAAAAACAATTCAAATTGACATCAAAGAAGAAATATGATGAAAAAAATGGCTGTGTGAAGTAAGGAATTTTCTGTAGTGATTAGAAAGTAATAATGGCATGAAAACTTGAATTTGGCACATAATTTCACACTGAGAATCAACTCTACATTTCTGTTGGAAGCAATAATACCATATACAGCATATGTAATAATTTTGATTGCATCTTTTTCCTGTGGTCAGGCCTTTTTTCTCCTGATTTGTTTTAAGTTCTGTTTCATGTTTCTGAAGTTCTTTAGTAGTAAGTAGTCATGAGTTGTTTCTGATTATAATAGAAGAATGTGCCAAAAGGAGCAGTTGTAAAAATGTTCATCAATTGTAGCTTATTTGCTGGTGACTGAATTTTTTCAGAAGTAGTATTACATGTTAATTTTTGATATTGATTTCTGTGGTTGTTGGATTTTTACTTTTTCCTCCAAATTGTTTAGAGTAAAAAAGAATTGATCACAAAGATAAATTTCACTGCTTATATTATCTAAAGGCTCTCCTCTGGTGAAGTTAATTCCTCATAATTTGGAGCTGTAGATAACATCTTTCAGATTAACAAAGCACTGATTTCAAAATGATTTTTAATACAGTTTGCCTTTTGAGAATAGCTAAGTTTTTTCCATGAAAAAGACAGTTTTACATGCATTTTTATCAATTACCCAGATATAAAAAGCACCTTAATGCAGGTTAGCTGCAATTTGATGATGCACTTTTGTTTGATTAAGGATCCAGTTGTGGGCTAGAGGGTGAATATATCCATGTCATGATGTGGGCTCCTTAAGAATAAACTCTGTGCTTTTTTCGTTAACTGACAGAGGTCCAAGGTCCCTACAGAAATTAATTGTTTGTCTGACAGTGTAGTAATTTACCCTCCTTTGCCTCATTTTTCACATCTATAAAAGAAGGAAATAAACTATATAATCTTTAAGGACCCTTTCACCTCCAAAAAGTCTATAATTCTTGGTCTGCTTTATGACATAAAGACCATTTTTGAATGCCATTTAGCTGGTATTAAAATAATTGAATTGAAAACACAAAAAATATTCTTAAATTGTCATTTTGACTTACTATTTTACAGGTTGCTGCAGTTTTTAAATCCTGATCCTTTGAAAACTGATGGAATCCATGACATACAGCAGGTATTCCAAGGCCTCAGAATGCAATGAAAATATTTTTTGCATATGTTTATATTACCATCACTTCTCTGCTTTTAGATCTGAGAATGTGGGGGAAGGTATTACAGTTTTAGAAGGGTGGATGGTTATCAAATGTTCCACCCAAAAGGTCCAGAGGTCCACCTTTCTCCTTTGTTGAGCAGTAATATAAACTTCATTGATTGAAGCAATTTTTCACCTATGTGTTGGTAAATGTATCCATGATGTTGAAAAAACTTGCGTGTCTTTTGTGCATCTTCATTTGTGGTCATCTTTAAAAACAGTTAATAATCAATTTTGCTTACTTCATCAGTTGCAGAAATCAAAGTCTAGCATTCCGCAACCTTCTGTTGTTCTTCGAAATAAAATTGAACCCTGTTCATTTGAAACTGCACCGCTTTCAGTGGGTTTAAAAAAGGTAAATATATTATCTTTAAAACACGTGGCAATTATATGTTGAAGATATATACATACATACATACATTGATATATATAATTGAAGTGTGATGGTCTTTAGTTCTTTAGATGGCATTAGTATGGCTTTTTTTTACATGATTAATTTTTCATTCCATTAATGCTTTTTATTGCAGAGCCATTGTAAGTGTTCCTAAGAGGAAATGCTTTTTAAACCTTAAATTATATATGTGTGAGAAGAGTTGTTATTTTTTTGAGTATGCATAAGCAGCGATCTTCACAGGGAAGAATGAGTTAGCTAGAAGGCAGATCAAGAGCTGCAGAACTTTTCTCTCTGTTCAGCTCTGAGGAGTCTTTTATGTTTGAGTAGACTAGAATTAAAGTGTGTTTACTGTTAAGTGTGTGGAAAGTCTCTGAGACAGAAATTGACACAGGTTTTTCTCCTTGACCTCAGAGAAATTTCCTAGCCTGATTGACCTCTTCCTGCTTTTCTTTCCTGAGCTATAAAGACAAGCAGAAAACTATAGTTCACTCCCTAAGAAAAGACGGGATAGATGGTGTGGGACAAAGCAAATTAAGACCCTAAGGAACCTGAGTTATTTCTTTATTCTGATAAAAGTATCCAACTAAGTAAAAACTCACCTGCATGATGAGCCTCTTATTTAACACAGAGGAAGTTTTATGCAGAAGTGGTTTGAGTTTGAGATGCCTTTTGAGAGAAAGTGTAAGGTGCTAGAAAAAAGTATAGTTAAACAAGTTCACCTTCAGCATTAGTTGTGTGATCATGGGCAAATTGCTTCACCTGAGTCTCAGTTTCTTCATCTATTTAATGAGGAAAATAATATTTACATTATGCAGTAAGGATAATATATGCACTGTCTATTTCACAGGGTAGTTGAGAGAGAAGAAATTTAACAGAATACCATATTAATGTGAATTAATATTACTCTTACATAATAAAAGATTCAGAATGAGTCTGCTACTTCAGCATTGAAGAAATAGTATAGTTAGATTAAAATATGTATTGATTGTTGAACCTTAAGGTGAAAAGGTTATTTCTAACATCCTCTGGGAACAAAATTTCATTTAACAAAGTCCCGGCCTTAGCAATGGTTGACAGTGGGTCTTACATTTGTCACTTTGTAGCCATGTGACCTTGAGCAAATCAATTAAATTTTCAGCCTCATTTCCCTGTATGAAATAAGGCATTAATATCCACCTCCAGGGTTGTCATAAGGAAAACACTTTGTAAACCTTAAAGTACTGTAGAAATGAGACATACTTATTATTATTCCCAGCCTGAAATAGCCTGGTCACCAGAGAACATTCCCCATGTTTTAACCATATGGCTTCATCACCAGACTGATCACTGACCCCAGCGAGTGGTATGAACATACTCCATATTAGTAGGCAACAGTTGCTCAGCAAACAAACAAGTTCTTTCCGTATCCTAGGTTGTAATTAGTCTGAGTTGGATAACTTGATCTCATTGAAGATCTCCAGGTACCCTTTTTACTATGGGCTTTCATTTCATTGTAATTTTCCCATTTTCACTTTGAGAAGAGCATTCTTTGTAACAGAGAAAAACCTAAGCAAATTAAGACTTAAGTAGTTTTGGCTATTCTAGATGGTTGCATCCATTTCCAGTAGGAGCCCTATTCCTTCTTAGGTCTGGAGCCCAATATAGCTTTTTAAAAGCACTTTTGTTTTTTTTACAGTTTTTTTAAAAATATAAATGGAATATTGTACTTAATTATATTTAGTGAAAAGTGGTAGCTTTCTAGATGTCAGCTGAATATGAAGTTATGAGTAATTTAGTTTTTTGTTGTGGTAGATTTGAATACTTAATGATTGTCCTTTGAGAATCCCTATTGAAATAAAAGTCCAGAGTTCAGTGTTGCTATGAGAGTGGCAGACCCCTTCTTTGCTAAAACTATTGGTGTCATTGAAGTATTTGGGAATCTCATAGTCAAAAAGCCATCAGAGGCATGGTATATATAGTAGTTTTTCCATTCCATCCAAGCCTGCCCTTTTGGCTTTGGTAGCTATCAAATACCCAGTGGTAGAAAAACTTGGGCAATCCAATCCAGTAAATTAAGTTTTGTTTCTAGTACAGAATTTCTCTTGGTTACAATGCAAGTTTATTTCTTATAATTTGAGATAAAGTTAGAGGGATTGGCTCATCTTTCAGAATACAGTCACTTAGTTCAGGTTGTCATACCTTCTTTCCTAATACCTTAGTGATTGTTGGTGAGATTTCTGGTATTAATATCTACTTTCATGACAATGAATGATTTGGAAAATCATATACATTCATGTAATAGCTGAGATTATTTTCTTCTTATTTGCAAATTGATAGTTTTCTGGATTTTTTTTTCTTAGAGTTGTGGCTTTCCTAGTATAGTTTCTGAGATTTGTAGTATTGAGTATCAGTTTTCTTTTAAACATCCTAGGGAATTCTAATTGTGACGGTTCAAACAGACTTATCTTGCCCTTATTTTTAAGATGCATTATGCTGCAGCTGAAGTAGAACATTTTGAACTGTGATGGCAATCCAGTTTAATTATGAAGGATGACAGAGGAATGATATAGATGATGTTATACACTAAAATATAAATCTCAAATTAACTCTCATTCATATTAACAAATTGAAGTTCATTTTTACAAGTATGTAATTTGAAAATATGTTATGTAATTAATTGAACAAATAAATGTAATACAATAAACAAATATGTAATTTTGCAAATATGTAATTAGTGTAAGAGCAATGGTGATGATTTATGTTTTCAGCCAAAAAGTAGAGCTTTTGAATTGGGCAGAATATTCTTCATAAGTTATTTTTTTTAAAGGAATATAGAGCTGAAAAGATCTTTTAAGGTCATCTAGTCTAATTCTCCCATTTTACTAGTGAGAAAACTCAAGCTTAGAAGGTTGAATAATTTGTTAAAGGTCATATAGGGAGGAACAGAGACAGGACAAAACTGACCTAGAACGGGTTGTTTTCTTAGACTTCGCTGACGCCCTTAAAATGTCTCTTTTACACGAAATGCTGGAACATATGTTAAGATGACCAAATCTAGCCATTTTATCTAATCTTTTTTTCAAAAAGAATAAATTTTTTAGCCAAAATTTCCCTTTCAGTCCCTTTGTTAAACTTGAAAAAAAATGTATGTCCTCCTAAATTCTCTGTTCCTAAATTCATGTCTTTTCCGAACCTTTATGATATTGAAATATTTAAAGAGGAAGTAAAAAGTATTTACCAGTACTATATCTTTTTTGTTTCATTAAATTTGTTTTTATTTTTCTTTTCTAGACACTTAGAAAGAATAAATTTCTAGAACCCAGTCACACTGAATCTTATTGCTGGCCACCAATAGCTCGTGGATGTGATGTGGTTGTCATATCTCATCATGGAAATGATCCTCTCTTATATATTCCACCAGTGCTTACATTTTTGCAAACAGGGGGCTGCTACAAATCATTACCAAGTAGAAATGGAGTAAGTTGAAAACTTTTTGTTTCACAGTAAAAAAATTTAAATTTATATTTTAAAATTCAGGTTTAGGGTTTTCATAAAGCCCCAAGTTGAACCCAAACAAACCTAGCTTCCTCTGTCCAAAACTTCATCTTTCACTCTTGACTACATTCTTACTTTTTCTTTTCTCCACTGATAAACATCTTCACTAAGCATCTGCTTTGCCAGTGGAATTTTAGCTTTTGGTAGCCTAAGATGTCATGGAATTGAAAGTTAGTAGGAAAGAAGAAGAGGAAAGATGTGGTGATAAGAACAGGGTGTGGGCCTAGGTGATAAGGAAAGAGGATGGAAGGGTTGAAAGATTTTGGAGGCTATCACAGAGAGAAGGTGAATTGGTGTGCCTCCTAAAAAGGTCATGAAGGCCCTACTTTAGTTCCTCATCCTGTATGGAGGGTGACCCTTGGTTCCAAGGACTATGCCATTAGAATCCAAGGTTTGAGTGCTACTAATCTATAAAGTCTCAAGATAGAGGCCCAGCATTGCACAAGAGTGTCATCCACAGGTAAGCCCAGGGAAGTTCAGAGAGGTTCATCTCACTGTGACAGTTACAGGGTCAGGGATTTTTAAGATACAACTTTTCAGTAGTGTTGCAGTTAGCATCAATAGTGGGAATCCAAAGTTTTGAAAGGGTGCCATTAAGGAATGGAGAAGCTTGGTGGGCAACAGTAACAAAGTTATAGTTGGCATTATGTAAAATAAGTAATTTACTACTATTTGGTAGCAAATTATATTTTGTCAAGAATTGGAAAGATTGAAACAATCTTTTCTTAAGATTTGTTACTTTTTTAATGATATCATTGCTTCAGATGCCTCCATTATGATTTTCCTGGGGTTGAGTCTTTCTTAATCTTTTCCTAGTAAATGTGTGGCAAAATTATTTTAGCCTTTGGGGACATTTACAGTGGGGTTTGACTAGGGGAGAGGGTATTGGAAGGAGCTCATTTCTGGCTTTTGATCAGAGGTTTGGGATAGGGAAAATGCAGCAAGAAGGTAATTTACTCCTTGGGGAGCTACATTAACATCAGGCTCCTTTTAACAGTACCATTTGGTTTCCTATCATTATTACTTCTGAATAGTTATCTTAGAAGTTTGTGTGTTAATGCAATTTCTAAACTACACTTAAAAGAGGCATAGATATAGTGGGAAAACACAGGACTAACAGTCAGATCTGGCTTGATTCCGTGTCTGCTGTAATCTCTGTAGCCTTGAATATATCAGTGTACTCTACCCCTTTGGGTCTCCACTTCTTCCATCTGTAAAATGAGAAGTTTGGATTATGGGATCTTTCAGGTCCCTTTAAATTCTGTGTTCGTTTGAATCTCGTTTATTACAGAAAGTTGTTCAGATGCTAGATTTGTGTTAGTTCAATGTATGTAACTTCTAAATTTTCTTTTCTGATGCATAAATATATTCTTTTAAATTTTAATCCAAAATTATATGAAATACTTCTTTTTTGTCTTTTCAGCCATTAGCAGTAATTGTATGCCCTGGATGGAAAAAAGCGCAGCACATTTTTGAATTATTAGAAGAGTATGGTAGAGGTTCTAGGCCTCTTCATCCCATGTTGTTAATAATTGGACTTAACAAAGAAGAAGCTCAAAATATGAAGTTTCAGAGGGGATGTAAGCATATTTAATGGAAAATAATGGAGACTTTGGTTGTTCACGTAAGAGAAAAATAACATGGTGTTAAGTGTAGGTTTATGTAGGAAAAATATTTGGCACAAAGCTAAGGTAATGTATCTTTGTGTTTTTCTTGATTTTATTCCTGAACCTTTTGATAGAGTCTTTTTTAGACTATACATATAAATTATACATATAAACTAAATCAAAAAAGAAAGAGTTAATCACAAAGTTCATTCCATTTAAAAAAAAAGTTCATTCCATTCCATTGACGTGAATATAATCAAGTCTCCACATATAAAAAGCTAGCCTGCATAATTTGGTTTTAGCTTAAATCTGTAACACTATAACACTTTGAAGTTGACAACTAAATATTTTTGTGATTTTTTTTCTCAAATATACCAATTTGCTTTAAAAAAAAAACTAACAAAAAGAAATCATTCCTAAAATCTGCAGCAGTTCTGTAATATATCAGTTATGGAGATGTTTGAAAAATCTGCGGAAAAGATGAATTATATTAATCACTTTTTCTTCTAAAATACAGGCGAGGTGATTATAACAACACCCCATAGTCTCTTGAGACTTCTGAAGTATCATAGCTTGTTATTTCTTAGACTCTGTCACCTTATTTTTGATGAAGTTGAAGTATTGTTCTTCGAAGCTGGTGAGCAAGTAAGTACATTTCGTACTCAGATACCATTGTTTTGTTCACTCTGATTTTGTTCACTCAGCATTTTAGTTCTGACAAGGCTTAGAACATAAATATCTAGTTGAGAAAGGATGAATGTGTTCCAAATCATCTTTATTCTCTAAGTCTACCATTGGCAGAAAGACTGCTTCTGTCTTAGAACAATGCCTTGCATTTAGTAGGTGTTTATTAAATTTTCTAATTGAAGAATATTTGCCTGACAATACATTCTCTGTTTTTGTTCCTCCCATTTAAAATTTAATAGTTGTGTACCAACAAGGTTTTCTGAATCAATGTTGCAATCTTTAATACTCTGGTCATTACAGAGTTGCTGTTCCTTTGTATCTTAGTCTTTATGTATATTACTGTAGTAGAATTAGATATTACTGAAAGATTGTGAGTGATTTGGCAGGACCACAGTATGTAGAGATCCCAAACATTAATAGAAAACCTATTTCAAGGTAGTCCTAGAGACTAATTCTGCAAGAAAAAAAATAGATGTAATCTGAGTTAAAATTTTTACATGCTTGTGTATGTTTGTCAGGTAGCATCAGTTTTCTAAGGCATATTTCATTAAATCAAATAACCTAAATAAAATAATTGTTTTTATAGATGCTTACTATCTTAGACTATTTCAAGAAAACTATTATAATTGAAGAAAGAGAATCTGCACCTCATCAGATTGTAGCTATTGGAGCTCATTGGAGCAAACATATAGAACTTTTAATCAAGGAATTTATGAATGATCCTTACATCGTTATAACAGCCATGGAAGAAGCTGCTCTTTATGGAAATGTACAGCAGGTAAACCATGGGTGTAATTTTTTTCTTGGTGCAGAGATTCAAGCTCTCTGTTGTAATATTTGTATATTTGTAACTAATTTAGAAGATGTTAATTCTAAAATTTTAAAATACTTTAAGGTATATTTTTAAGAGTTTGACACCTTAAGATAACTGTATAAATATTTAAATTAGACAGTTTCATGCATTTGATTTCATCAAAATACCATCAATAAACAATGAAGCCAGAAGAAATATAGACATTTGGAAAGTTATCCTTTTTCAAAAAAAAAGTTATCTAGTTTTATCCTTTTTTCTAACACTAGGTGGTGCAACTTTGTCTAGACTGTGAAAAAACCTCAACGTTACTTCGAATGCTTGATTTCAGTCCAAGTCATGCTCAGAAGACCTTGATATTCACGAGTTCTGTGACTGAAGCAGAAATAGTTTGTAAGGTAAGAATTTCTAGTGAAAGAGAAATGTGTTGTTGCCTATTCTTCTATCTAAAAGTGAATCAGGTTCTGAGAACTTAGGCCAGGTAAATAGACTGCAAGGATTATGAGGTGAAGAAAGAATTAAAAACAGATATTGATTCTCATGTCTTCTCAAAGTTGTAACAGAGAGTATGGTTAGAATAAATAATATCATAATTTACATTTATTACATATTTGGTTCCAGAACTGAGAATCTAGTTTTTCAAAAAATTCTATTCCCTTTCAAGTAGTTTTCTGCTGACACCACCCAAAGGAATAGAGTATTTCTCCTTGAAAGATTTTGGTTTCAGGTCTACAGTTTTTCCTCTTTTTTCTTCTTATAGTATCCCTCTTGCATTGTGTCTCCTTTGGTACAGTACAATGTACAGTCAGTTATTTCAAATACAAAATTACTTTACCACAGAGTAGGGAAACATAAAACACAGACTACAATTAGCTAAGAAGTCTCTCACTATTCTGCTAAGCTTATCTCAGTTACCTGACAGTGACTGGTCATTCCAGGTGACCTGGCAAATTCCTCCACCCCAGTCTCTGGATCATTCTCTTCTCTCCTTGCTAATGCACTGCTACCCCTAGTACAAAGTCAGGAGCTGTTTTCCTCCCACAACACTCTTAATCTCTGTCTCTTAGGCTAAAGGTTTTTTCCCTGCAACAGGATTCCTTAATTCTCGGGATGGTACAGGCTTAGAAGGGTGGTAAGGCAATTCAGACCATTAGGCAATATGATCCATAAATCACCGGTATAAATTTTGTGATCTTATTATATTAATGCTATGGCTTTGAACTGTTAACACACAAAGTCCACATACAACAATTTCACTTCCTGCCAGTATAGGAGATAATGTGACTTGGAGTTCTAATATACTCACTTTATATAAACTTGTCACTGAACCATATACTACTGGACTATGTCACAAGCATATGGCAGGCATTTCAGCAGGTCAGTACTCCAGCCCCAGTTCACCCTTAGATTTCATTGTAATTCTGCAGAACATAATTGAAAATTTTAAGAATAAATTGAACAAAGTGATCCTCTGGAAGCCAGTTACCCAATACAACAATTTTATTTCCTTGGTATCTATCATTTTTGGTCTTGTCGTACAATTTTTTCAGTCATGTCTGACTCTTTATGACCCCATTTAGAGTTTTCTTGGCAAAGATACTAGAATGGTTTGCCATTTCCTTCTCTAGCTCATTTTACAGATGAGGAAACTGAGGCTAACAGGGTTAAGTGACCTACCCAGGGTCACAGAGCTAGTCAGTGTCTGAGGAACTCAGGAAAATGAGTCTTCCTGACTCCAGGTCTCATGTTTTATTCACTGTGTAACTTAGCTGCCCTTACCTTATGGTTATATAAACCAAAAACTTAATTACCTCTTCCAGTTTAGGAAGTATATTAGCCAGTAATATGACACATTTAGAGATAATTTGATATCAAAGATTTATATAAACCATAAAAAAGAGCTATAAAAGCACAATACTCTACAATTATTTCATGTAGGGGCAAACTTTTGCTACCCATTAGGGTATCTCCTGTATTGCATTTATCACAGTAAATTTACTGATCATAATGAAGACTAAGTTATCAAGAAAGAATAAATTATATTTGTTATTCTGTGCTTTAAAAGGTAGGAAAATATAAAGATTTTCATCATCTCCTCAAATATTTTTCATTGTGTTAAAGACATCAGAAGGCTTAGTGTTCCTAGAAAAGTTATTTGGTTAAATCATTCTCTAAAAATTCTAGATAAATGAGGTTGGCATACAAATAGACTATCTCAGTAGTTCTTGTTAATAATATTGAAGTCATTAAGAGGTATAGTTTATACTTTCCTGAATTTTTGAATTTATATTTATTGAAATTATACTTTACTAATTTTTGGATTTCTTTAGGTCGTGGAAAGTAGTTCAATATTCTGTTTGAAAATGCACACAGAAATTGCTGCTAATTTTAAAAATGTATTAGAGCAGTGGAAAAAAAAGTTAAGTCTTGGCTCTCATATTGTATTGGGTAAGTGCTGTTTTTATTTGTAAAGAGTGGTAGGATAGAGCGAACCATGTCTTGATGTTTTTATGAAGAAATTTTATCACATCTTCAAAATAGGTGAAGTTCTTGATTATAACAAGTTTCTAAAAGGAAGGATTATTTGTATAAAACTTCTGATTTGGAGCTACAAGCTTAATATGGTCAACAAATGGACCTGTTCTGAAACAACTTAGAACTTTGAGATGCCTTCAAATGTTGTGATCCAAAAATTACACCCTGTAGATCAGGGGTTCTTAACCTGGGGTCCATGGATACCCTTCCCTTAACACAGTCTGTGGATAGCTTTCAGGGGATCCAGATTAGATGGGGGGAATAATCACATCTTTATTTTAATGTAATTGGTTTCCTTTTTAGAGCTGCTTTCCTACTGTCTACAAACATACCCATTTCTCCCCCATCCTCAGAAAAACCTCACTTGATCTGCCCATCCCTGCAACCTCTCTTCCTATATCTCTTATCCCTTTTGTTGCTAAACTCCTTGAGAAGGCTATCTAGAATAGGTACCTACACATCTTTTCTTCTTACTCTCTTCTTATGTCTTTGCAGTCTGGCTTCCAATGTCCTCCCCAAAGTTATTAACGATCTCTTAATTTTCAAATATAATGGCCTTTTCTCAGTCCTCATCCTTCTTCACCTCTTTGTAAGCCTTTGACAGGTCATTGACCCTGGACTCTATAGGTTTTCATGACATTGCTTACTCTCTTACCTGAGTGACTGCCTCCCTCTTCTGGGTTCTTTGTTGGATCTTCATCCAGGTCTCAACTGCTAATCATGGATGTCTCACAGGGCTCTGTCCTGGGCCTCTTCTCTTCTTCCTCTGTATGATTTCACCAGGTGATCTCAGCAGCTCCAGCGGTTTCAGTTATCATCTCTTTGGAGGTGCCTTTCATATCTACTTGTGTAGCTCTAACTTCTCTGTTGACTCCCCAGTCTTGCATCTCTAACTGCCTGATAGACATCTTAAATTCAACATGTCAAGAACAGAACTAATCATCTTCCCCCCCACCCCCCTCCTGTTCCTAACTTCCCTATTACTGTTGAAGGTACCATCATCCTCCCAGTCACCCAGATTCACATCCTAAGTGTCATCCTTGACTCTTCTCACCCACATATCCAACCTGTTTCCAAGTTTTGTTGATTTTTACCTTCCTGACATCTTGTATATGCCTCCTTCTCTCTTCTGACTCTGCCATCCCCCTGGTGCACTCCCTCATCACTTCACACCCAGACTATTGCAGTAGTCTGCTGGTTGGTTTACCTTAAGTCTCTCCCCATTCTATTTCATATTCCATTCAGGAATCAAATTGATCTTCTTAAATCATAAGTCTAACTGTGTCAACCCCCATTCAGTTAGCCTACTGATTCCCTTCAGGATCAAATATTAAATCCTTAGTTTGAATATTCAAAGCCCTTCATAACCTGACCCGCTCCTACCTTTCCAGTCTTCCTACACTTTACTGTCCCCCACAGACTGTGATTCTGTGACACTTGCCTCACTGCTCCTCACATACAATGCTCTATCTCCTGAGTGTTTTCATTAGATGGCTCTCTTGCCCTGAATTTCATTCCCCCCTTGCCCCTTTGACTCCTAGTTTCCATGGCTTCCTTCAAGTCTCAGTTAAAGTTCTGCCTTCTGAAATAAATCTTTCCCAATCAGTGCTCTTTAATTTTCATGCCTTCCATCTGGAAACTACTTCCCAATTTATTTTATCTGTCTGTCTGTCTGTCTATCTATATCTTCTTTCTACACAGTTGTTCACATATTGACTCTCCTACTAGATTACTAAGCTTCCTGAGAGCAGGGACTGTGTTTTTGCCTTTCCTTGTATCCCCAGGGCTTAGCACAGTGCCTGGCAAATAGTAAGTGCTTATTAAATTCTAGTTAATTACTTGATTATGTTTAATTTTATGTATTTAAATAAAAACCTTATTATGAAAAGGGGTCTAAAGGTTTTGCCCGACTTAATAAGATGTCTAGGACACAAAAAAGGTTAAGAACCCTTCTGTAGATAGAATTGAAGGTTTAGCCATCAGTGTAGAGGTTTAGTTTTAGAGATAAGAAAGACTTCTGTAACACTGAATCCATCAATGATATTTATTCATTACCTTCTATATGCTAGACACTGTGCTAGATCCAGGGGTTTGCACATTCAGGGTAAAGTGACTGGCAAATATTATAATTAAAAGTATAAAATTATGGTTAGTCTGTATTTACAATAGGTAGGAGAGGCATTTTGAGACTAAGAGATTGCACAATTGGTAGAAAAGGGGCAGAGAAACTTGGTTAAGAGAGATTTCTTGGTGTGCAAAAATACAATATAAAGAGTTTTCTTGAAGAATGGGAAAATGTGAACTATTTTGAAAATCCAGTGTTTCTATCATGTTTTGTAACTCTTTGCATTTTTTTTTCTTTTCAGTTTTAACTGATGATTGCATACCTCCTCTGGCTATAACTGATGCAACTTGTGTGATTCATTTTAGTTTTCCTGGTTCTCCAAAAATTTTTGGAGCGCGTTTATATTGTATGTCTGATAATTTCCAAAGTTTAATTGAACAGGTCTGAATCGCTTTCAATGTAGTCTTTGAATATTACTATTTACTTTTTTAAAAAATATATAATGATATACTTAAAAACCATAGGGTACCACAATTGAGACCAATCCAAATTAAGTTTTTCCTTTTCCATCTTGTCTTCTTTAATTTTAAGGGTGCTTCTTCAGAGCAAGGAAATAAAAAGGCAAAATCTATTTTGCTACTGACAGAAAGAAGTGCATGCTGTGCAGTTGGCGTATTGCGTTATTTGGAACGAACAGATGCTAAAATTCCTCCAGAGTTGTGTGACTTCACTGCAGGTGTTTTGGAAGCTAAGGAAGATAAAAAACTCAGAAGGCCTCTTTGTCATTATCTTAAGGTTTCTGGTTTTTGCAAGTAAGATGAGTCACATTTTAGTAAAGACTAATTTTCCTAATTATTCTCTGTATATCAGATAATTACATTCAGAAATGAGATATGTAATTTTAAAACTGTAATTATGAAGTTACAGAAAGGATCATTTTTAATTTAGATAATAGTTTTGTGGCACATTTCAAGATTAATAGCTCATGGGGCAGTTACATGGCACAGTGGATAGAGCACCAGCCCTGGAGTCAGGAGAACCTGAGTTCAAATGTGACCTCAAACACTTACTAGCTCTGTGACCCTAGGCAAGTTACTTAACCCTGATTGCCTTCCCCCCCCCAAAAAAAAAGATTAATAACCCATGAAGCATGTCTTCCTGTGAGTCAGAAATTATATACCTGGGAGAGATAAATGGGAGAGATAAACATCATTAGCACTTTTTTCTGCAATGTAACTAGAAAATTATTTTCAGTTCTAGGATCCCTCCCCTTCAACCTCTGATTCTGTTAAGAAAACATTCATTCATTCTGGTATTTTAAAATATAAATAAAGCTCTCAGACCTGATTGTTAGAACTTAAGACAGACCTTGGAGTCTGAGGAAAATAGGTGGTAGATTGATTTTAGAGGTATTTGTCACTACTAGTCATAGGTGATGTTGAGGTACTTGGTTGAATTCTAAAAATCTTGGTTTGCATTTGAGCCAACAATTGGAGATTGAAGATGGAGGTAAGTCATAACTACATTAATGAATTTATTTTGCTTTTTGGTTTTGATTTTTATACATTTTGCTTTTTTTTCGGAACACAAATTATATTGTGTCATTTAAAAGGAGCCTGAACTAGGATGTAGTTCAGTTCACTCATAGCACATATTCTATTAATTTAAGGGTGGAGACTAGTAAAGCCCTCAAACTAGTACTTAATTGATGTTAACTTGTTACACTGTGATTAATTTTAGGATCAAAGTAGCTGGTTAAGTTTTTAGGTCATCATCATTTCATGAAATAATACTGAACATTTAAAGGATCTTCTTAAGCAGCCTCATTGTCAGTTTTTTTCTAATGTTCCAACATGTAGAATATGTAAAGATAACTGTTAGCATTAATCCATTTGATTGTTGGTACGTTGGATAGGTAGTCAATTTCTATTTCCACGGAAATGTTTTATATTTGTGCAGCACTTGATAGCTGACAAAACCCCTGCTTTCATTCATTATTTAATTTGATCCATTCTGACAGTAAACCTGTGAAATAGATACATAGGTGCTATGATACACAGTTTCTAAAGCTAGTGAGACAGGAGGCTCCGAGGTTAAGGTGACTCGCCTCAAGTGACAAGGACTAGTGTTTGTGGGACCCAGCATCTGTAGGTGTCCTTCCTATTCTGCCACAGTGTATCTACTCATTATTGTTATCATCATGCCCCTTTTGAAAAGGCACTCCCAGATTAGGGGCTAACGAGCCTCTCCGCTGGGTTCCAGTGGCCTGTTCCCGATGTTTACAGGCTCGTCGTGCCAGAGCTGGAATCTTGTCATTTTATAGAAACGGAGGCTGAGGCTTAGTGGCTTACGTGACTCCCCTGAGGTCACCCAGGCAGTGAGCAGCAGACTCCTGAGCCATTGCTAGTTCTACTGTATCGGGCTGCTCTTCATCCTGGCTGTAGGAGAAAAGGACAAAAAAAGAAAACACTAAGAAGATTTCCACTGGTTTCTCAACAGAGATATTATTGAAGTACCCATAATAAATAGGAGTGTTGGCTTGTTTTTGGCTTATGGCAGAGAGAAAGAAAAGAGATGGGATGTACAAGTTATTTGGATAACTAATACTGCATTTGAAAACCTAAGATCAACCCAATGCAACTCATAACATCATTATGTAGTCAATTGTGTTGTATGTTAGTAATAACATTAATTCTTTTGTGGCTGTACATTTTGGTCAGCATGAAATTGCAGATATTAAAATATTTACAAATAGAATGAAGCAGTTTTATCCTTTTTTCTCATAAATAATCACAAATTTTAATACTTAGGTAACAATCTTTCTTCTAGATCTCTAATTTCTTTAGAGGCATCTGACTCAGTTACCTATTTTACGTGGTTTTAAAACAAATACTTTCCTCTCTTCACTTGTAATCCCAATTAATATGCTGATATGATTGATTACTTTTGTTCTGTATTTAAAGAATGTAATCTTGATTTTTTCAGAGATAAAAGGATATGTCCAGATCGACATCATATTAACCCAGAAATAGACATGCCAAGGAAATTATCTGACCGAACTCTGCCAACAACTGGATATGTTAAGGTAAGTTTAAGAACTTTGTTAAGGGAAATTTGGTGGCACAGTAGGTAGAGTGTCATGACTGAGGTCAGGAAGGCTAATCTTCCTGAGTTCAAATCCAGCCTCAGACATTTGCTGGCTATGTGACCTTGGGCAAATCACTTAACCCCGTTTGCCTCAGTTTCCTCATGTGTAAAAATGAGCTGGAAAAGGAAATGGCAAAGCACTCCGGTATCTTTGCCAAGAAAACCCCAAATGGGGTCACGATGAGTTAGACACAATAGAAAATGACTAAACAACAATAAAAATGACTTTGCTAGTGATTTAAAAAAAATACTTTTGTTTTTACATGACTTCATTTCCTGATACATCCCTCTTCATCCAACTTACCAGGGCAGTTTTATGTCTCCAATTTTGTCTTCTCTCCTCAGGTCCTCATACCTCCTGCTCTACCCTCTCTCCCTGCTTTCCCCTCTTAAGATTTACCTTGCATCTACTTTGTATATTATATATACACATTAATATATATCTTGTGTCCTCCATTAGAATCTGAGTCCTCCTCAAGACCAGGAGTTGTTTTTACTTTTCCTTTGTATCTCTAGTACATAACACAGTGCTTAGCTCATAGCAGACAGTTATTTAATGCCTCTTGATTGCTGACCTGTACTTGAGAGCATCTCGATGCATCTTTTTTGTGGCAGTTGGGGTTAAGTGACTTGCCCAGGGTCACATAGCTACTAAGTGCCTGAGGCTGAGTTTGAACTCAGGTCCTCCTGACTCCAGGGCTGGTACTGTATCCACTGGGCCACCTAGCTGCCTCTAACTGCATCCTTTTCTAAATGTTCATTTACCAATTTTTTTAATCACACCTGAGAGTACATCAGTATAGGAGAAAGAGCTTCTGTTGAGGAACTTCCTCTAATAATGTGTCACTAATCACTCCTTTGATAATAGGGGTCCACAATTTTCCCATGAATGGAATTCAAGTTCACTGGGCTTCAAGTTTCAGATTCTGTTCTCTACCCCCTTTTAGAAACATTCAGACTTGTTCAGTTCCTGGGCCCCTCTCTCACACCCTTGTGTTCTTAGTGATCAATGGCTGGGGCTCAGCCAATTTTTCTGCCAGCTCTGCTGGGCATCAAGATATAAATGACTCACCAAGGGCAGCCCATTGCCCTCTTACCCTTTGTTTTGGGTTTTAATGCACTATTACTCACTTTTTTCTGTCGTTTTCAGTCTAGAAATGGTACTTAATGAGAGAGAAGACCAGAAGTAAAATATGAATGGATTGGAGTTGACTTAGAATTCACTTTTTCTCTTATAAACCTCTTAGAACATTAAAATATGTTACCCTCTGCCCAGATTCCTTCCTTGTCACACATTTGAAGACAGAGCGGTCACTTCTCTGCCTCTCCCTGTTTTGGAGAGGGGAATAATACCTTTATGCACATAAATGTATTTTAGTAAAAAACATAGGAACAACTTATATGTCCAGAGTTTAGGGGAATAGCTGAACAAACCTTAGTATATCAAAGCAGCAAAATGGTGCTGTACCAGAAGAAAGACCAAGCTGAACTGGGAAGATTAGGAGAAAGGGATGCGGAGCAGAGGCTGAACCATTACATATCCACTGAGTATAAAAAAATGCAGCAAAATCTGAAAATGTACACAGAAGAGGAGGAGGTGAGAAGAGTAAAGAAAGGGGGGCACATAACTTTTTAGTGCTCTAACTAAAGAAGTTTGGAGCTTGTGGCTTAATATGTGGTTTTATTTTGTTTGAATTGTTTGTGCTTCAGTTTATAATGAAGTCTTTAAAAGAATTTAAACATTAAGATGTTTTACATAATGAGAGTAAAAATTTTCTTTTTAGATATGCATTAGATGAATCTATAGGTAAAGGTGATGGAAAGGCATTTGGAGTCACAAAATCAAAGAATGAATGTCTGAATCAGCAATGAACGGAATCGCAGAGGCCATCTAGTAACTGGCCAAGAGTTCCCACTCTCTGCCCCGTCTCATTTCCATCATTTCTACCTTTCCCATTGTCAGTAAGAATCAGGTACAGAATAGCAGTTCTTGTCATTATTTCTTCCACGATTTTGATGGATGAAGTTATTATGGCAAACTTAGATTGTCTAGATAATTAATTGAAGCTTCTCGTCTCTTATCATGTCATGATGTGGTACCAGGCTCGTGATTGGTTCCTAGAACTCAATTCAGTAAACATTTATCCACCAATAAACATAATGTCTGCCGTGTAGTACGCACCCAACAAATCCTGGTTGATTGGTATATTAAAGCATCTATGTTTTCTATGTATCGGGTATGAAGGACACAGAAACAAAAAAAAAGATAGCCCCAGATCTCATAGAGTTGACTGTCTCCTCTTTCTGTCCAGGTGGTCTGTGGTCTGTTCCAGTCCTTTCATTTTCTGCTTCTATTGCTCTTTCTCCAAATAGTCTCGAGTCTACTTTCTGCTCTGATCATTTCTCCATGTAAGTTTTTCTTCTTTGTATGCATTACTATACTTCACTGTTTCTTTTATCCTGTTCTTTCTGCTTAAAGTGTACTTCTGCATAGCCATATGAAAGGGTCCCATCCCGCTCATCTCAGTGAAACCTGAGAGGTCAAATTTACCTTCTTGTGTTGAATCCTTTAGTGCTCCTTGCTGTGAATAGGTATCTGAGGTCATAAGGTTTCGTTCTTGACTTTTTTTTTTAAAGGATTTTGTCATCTGAGAATGAAATCGATTGGCAGAAATCTTCCAGTGAACTTTTTAAAGGACTTTATTGTTTGTGAATACAGTATAGAGGGTTTTGTTTATTTGTGTAATCCCTTAGTTAAGCTGAAATGCATCAGTCACACTGTCTTAGCAGTTAAGCCCAATCTATAAAGGCATCAGTTTCTGTGTATGATTTAAACTCACATGCATACATCATTTGCTTAGAATTATCCAATTTTTGAAGCAGCTAGGTGGTGCAGTGGATAGAGCAGTGGCCCTGAAGTCAGGAGGACCTGTGTTCAAATGTGACTTCACACACTTGCTTGCTGTGTGACCCCGGGCAAATCACTTAACCCTGATTGTCTCAAAAAAAAAATAGAATTATCCGATTTTCCAGTTACCACTTTATATATAGATCTATACATACATACATATGTGTATATATACATGTATGTATATATATGTAGGGTTTTTTTTTCCTCCATTAAAACCCTATTCAGATGCCTCATTGTGGCATACAGATGATCTTGGGCTCTTGAAAACTATTCCATAAGTCCCAGCAGGTCCTACCAAGCTGGTAAGGCAATGCACTCTGTATCTGTTATTCAAAGACTTTGAGCTATGCTCAAAGATGCTCATTACCAGAAGATTGGCCACCAGGTGATTTTTACATGGAGAGGGTCAACTGTGATTTTATAAGAAACAACTCATGAAATCATCTACTTAAGGCTTAGAGGGATTGTGACTTTAATTGGTAGAGGGAGGGGCCACACTAGGGAAATCTCAGATCTTTTAAAGTATATGTTATGCTTTCAGATAATACCTTTCTATATTGTGAATGCAACAAACTATTTTGGGCGCATACTTGATAAACACAAAGATCTGTATGCAGCTCTTAATATGGAAATGAAGGAGTATTTTAAGGAATCCAGTAATAAAATGTCTGTTGAAAAAGTTGAGAAGTTTGCCTTGTATGGACTATATGAAAAAGCAGTTTTTCACAGGTAAGATGCTTTATTTTGTTTTATCCAAAGTAATATAAAAACATATTGTAAATTTGAACTGAGGTTTAAACTATACTGGATAACTGCATTATCACATCTATAATGCTTTTGAATTCAGTGTAGAAAGGAATGAATGAAAAAAAAACATTTAAATGCATTATTATGTCCTAGCCAGGGGTGGGGATCCTGTGGCTAGGCATTTGTTCTGTAAAGTTTGGATTCAGTCAAAGGGCTGCACTTGAGGATCTAGAGTGCCACATGTGTTCTCGAGGCTGCAGGTTCCCTACTCGTATGACCTAAGCACTAGGACAACAAATATAAATGTGAAACTGTCCCTCCTATACTGGATGTCTACACGTTGAATGGATGATAAAGCATTTATTAAGTGTGTTACTATGTAGTAGGTTCTTAGAACACAAATGCAAAAGTCGAGAGAGACGTTGCCTGTCTCTGAGGTGCTTACATCTTAGTAGGAAGAGACAACCCATAGGAGAATGGTGCCACTGAAAAGGAATTTTGCTCTGAGTTGTTGCAGGAATGGTGGGTGGAGTCATGGTATAGTGGATCATTATGCCCTTTCCAGAAGCAAAAGTAATATTTATTCAATTCCTGTTCTAAGAGCAAAGCTTGTCAGCAGTAGCATTGAAAAAATGTTGACAAAGCAAGAAACTTTGCAAGGATTCCTGTGATAACAAATTAACCTTATGAAGACAGCCCTGTCCTCTTTTACAACTCTGAGACAAACACTACTGTTTTTCTGTTGACAAAGTACAAGAATACGTGAAGCATGTAAACTACAAGGCTACCTTTCGAAGAAGGTCATTAGACATTGGAGTCATTGGCACCATTTTCTATAATGACTGAATGTTATTGATGGATCTTAGGTGGTAGGTATGTCCAACTCAACCTGGATTCTAGTATGTATTTGGAAATAATAATTCAGGAATAATGAAGCACACTGAAAGTTTAATTCTCAGTACCTTCATATTAATAGTATCTTAGTATAAGGACTTTTCAGACTTTATTGTGAGTTTGCCCTAAATACTAATATATAATGTATAATTAGAAGGCACTCAGTGAGTTTTTTCTTTTAACATACTTGAAAATATTGATTAAATTAGCAAAATTCAATAATTTTTTCTTCTCATTATTTAAATTAGGGCAAAGGTTATTTAATTTTAGAATGAAACATATTTAGCTATTCTTTATTTTACAGGGTTCAAGTTTTGGAAATGAGCCAAAAAGAGGAAAATTGTGTCTTTTTTAATGTTCACATAAAATTTATAGATGAAGGCAGGACAAGCAATACTAAAAATCATCAGCTGCTTCATCTACCCCAGAGATTCCAAAATTTACCTCCTCAAGCTATAGAATTTATTGTTTGTAGAGTGAAACCTATTGACAATGAAGTTGAATGGAACCCAAAGGTAAAGTCCCATGCTTTCACGTTTTTACATTTTTAAAGTTTTTAGAGGTACTTAGTAATTTGGTATAGTAGCCATGATTTTAAAATGTAAAAGTAATGTTTGGAATCTATGTTTGAAATAATTTTTATAGCTGAATATGTATGAAATTCCATTTTTAAAAGCTGATTTAATTCAGAATGATTTTTGATAAAGTTCTTTATCACTTATCTCATTCCTATGAAGTTAAAAGGACAACATATGCTTTTATATACATAATAAAATGCCAGTTAGCTGTCGCTGAGATTTTTGGCAACCTCTGCTATCCAGAAAACATCTTTGAATTCAGTTTTTATAAAAGGTCTCAGCAGAGAGTAGAAGATCTGTCATTCCCACATCTCATTAATGTAACAGCAAAGTACAGTAACTGTATTGTACTTTGTAACTAACATGATAAGTTTGAATCATTAGAATGCTAAATTTTGGTGTGTGCCATTTAATAAGGGGCAGGAAAGTAGATAATTTTAATTTATTTAAAGATAATTTTTCAGAAGTAATCTTAGAAGGATTTCCATGGGTAAAATAAAAATAGTTTGACATTTAAAGGTGATAAACTTCAGCTACTACTTTCCTGCTCTCCCTCCCCTCCCTTGCCCTAAAATAAACCTTTTTTGTTCCAGTTAAGTACTGTCTATTCTTTGACTTTGTGAAACCTGTAAAACCAAAAAGCATTCCCACTATGCTTTTTTCCAAATCATTGCTAAAAATATTCACCAGCACATGCCAAGGACAGATCTCAGGGCCAGTGTCCATTGGAGGATTCATTCTGTGTTGAAACCAACTTATTAATAACTACTCTTCAGGTCTGGTCATTCAACCAGTGCCCAAATCTATCTGGAGATGTATAGCATTTCTCATCATGAGTTTTTTGTTGTGAATTGTTGTGAATCATTGTATTGATGAGAGTCTTTCACAGTATCATCGTTAAATTATTGCTGTTACTGTGTTCTGCTGGTTCTGCTCACTTTACTTTGCATCAGTTCGTGTAAGTTTTCCCAGATTTTTCTGAAACCATCCCTTCATCATCTCTGTTTCCACCCGCTGGGAAACTGTCAGCTTGTTTGCTTTTGTGGATGGCTCTGGTTTTATTGGCAACCCCCTTTCTTAGTGCCCAGGACTTCTGGCTGACTTTTTTTGTAGTTCTGGGGTACAATACTTGCCATATTGTACTTTGTAATTAACATGATAAGTTTGAATCAATAGAATGCTCAATTTTATCCAGTGTGCCATGTAATAAGGGGCAGGAAAGTATCTAGTTTTAATTTATGGAATTACTTGATAATTACTTTGGGCTGGACAAATTTCGGGTTTCTGTTTGTGTGAGAGCTTCTCCACTTCATTAAACAAAGAAGCACCAAGGAAGTGTGAATCTGCTGTGTCATGCTGTCTGAGTAAGATGGGCAATAAGAGCCAAAAGACCCTTTCTCATTGGCAGAGAGTTTGAGTCACAGCTATCTGCCATTTCTCCAGGAGTCTTCTCTCTCCTTCCTCCTTCTACTATGAATAAGTCTCTAGGTCCAAGCTTTTTGCCCCCTTACCTCAGTCAATACCTGGTCCTGCTTAATACAGATAAGAACCATATGAAAACCTGCCACACTTTGGGCCGCAAAATTCCACCTGCTGGCAGGATGCCCACTTCCACCCAGCGACCCAGTGGACCTGATCTGTTTCCACCGTCATTTCTCACTGCCCTTCTTTATTTTAAGTATGCCCCTGCAATAAAACATTGGGCTGGCTTTACTCTCTTGTTACAAGCTCTATGTTTCCATGTACTGAACTGTTGGTATCCTGAACCTTAAAAACAAAACAAAGCAAAGCAAAAACCTCATGTTGAAAATCTGCTTTTGCTCTGGCAGCCATTTTGGGACATTGAATCTTGGCAGTTATTAGCACAGAAATACAAATGTTGACAGCAGTGTGATTTAGGTCTCTTATTAGCATTCTGCTTGAAAAGAAGAGAGAATGTGATCTATCAGAAACAGTGAATGCTGTATTTGGAATATATAACCCATGGATGCTAGTTCCCCCTTGTACAGTTAAATCAGCAGTGTAATTGTGAAGAAGGTCACTTCATCTGCCAAGGTTTACTCTTGTAAATGGCAATGCTGCCATTTACCTGATAACGAGAGTTTTATGTCATCATAGCTCTTGACCTCTAAGAGAACTCAGATGCCATCTGGTCTAATCCTCACATTTTAGAAATGAGGAAACTGAGGCCCAAGAGAGCCTAATAAGATAAGATAATCTCATGACTTTCTAAGGTCACCCAGGTTGGTGTCAGAGGTGGGATTTGAACCCAGGAATGCTTTCTTCAATAGGCAGAGCTTTTTTTTCACTGTGCAAAGACTATTTTAAAAAAGTGGTGTAAGGAAAAAAATGTGATGATAATACAAGATGATAATGAGAAATGTAAAAACACTTAGGTTATATATTGAAAGATAGTGGAAATTTTTTTGGATCAAAAATATTCCAATAATTTCAAATGAGTTTCTGTGATAATGAAAATGCATATATTTATATCACTTTCTTTTTATATCTCCTGAATGGAACTCACTTTAATCTGAAGTAGAACATATATAATGTTGCTTTTAATACTATATGGATTTTCATAGTGATTGCTCATTATAAATCGATCTTTCAAGTAACATGTAACAAAATAATTTATACATTTTTCAGGTTACTAGATATGTTCACCATAAAATTATAGGAAAACTACATGAGGCAAAAGTAGTACTGTCTTTGGGAAATACAGTTTGGGTTGATCCAATGGTAAGTGTGCCATTTTCTTATAAGGAATATAATCTGTATTTATAAGGGAACCAAAAATCATCCCAAATATTCTCCCAAAAGAGTAAAACCTTTATGAACTGGAATCTAACTTCAGTTTTGGTGGACTCTTCTTTTTACTTGCGTGTTTTTGGCAGAAATCTAAATGATAAAGCAAGTGATCAAAGATGTAGTTTTAAAAATACCTTCCTAAAAAGCACACTCCAGGAGATGATCTTTGGCACACATACTCTATCTTCAGCCCATTTTTTTCTACCTTATAGCTTTTGAGTATACAGACTTTAGAGTGATCATTTATATTTAGTGTGGCAAAAATAATAACTAATTTATATAGCACTCTAAGGTTTGTAAAATGCTTTACAAATATTTCATTTGACCTTTTGGGTCTAAAAAATGCTTAGCTTCTGCATGCTGATAAAATTATTCATTATAAAAGTGAGATCAATTAAAGAAAAAATACAGCAAATACTTTCCTCCAGGTTTCTCTTTATAGGTTTCAAGTGTATAACAGTATACCCATTAGGACTGCAAAGGAGAGAATGCCCTCGCTCCCTCTACTCCTTCACTATTCATTTGGACTGAAATTATGTCAGTCAAAAATTGTTTATGAAGAGTCAGTAGCTGCCATCTAATGCGGACTCCCAGATAACTTTTATTTAAGAAACTAAGGGCTATTGCCTCTAGTGCCCCTGATTTTGTTCTTAGATCAGGCATCAGTGTACATTATGCTCGCTGGTGTTTGGGGAAAGACTTCCTCTTCCTTAAATAAACTGAGGTCACGCCTTATCCAGGTTTATTTACAAGCCTATTCTTTAGGGTCAAACTTTGGGAAATTACTGCCCTAGAAATTATAAAATATGTGAATCTTAGGATTTTTGTCCTTAAAATAATGTAGAAAAAGTGAATTAATTGTTCTCAAAACTTTTATATTATGTTTTGTTTTACATTTGAGATGTAGAAAACACAAATTCCCACAGATTCAGGGATTCTAATGTCATTTCTTCTGTTTCCTGGTAACTAATTTCTAGCCCACATCCATCTATATGTGTTACTGCTGCTGCCAGAGGGCCCAGAGTCAGGGCACATACTTGCCTGGTTAAAAAGTAGGATATCTAGTGTGTCAACAAACTACCAAAACTTTTGGAAATGAATTGTAGCTTTCTTTGTAATACAATCAGAAAAATTAAAAGGGGATCAAAAAAGGAGAGTTTTTGAGAGAAGTGAGCAACAGATAATATAAATTTGTCTATCTGAAATCTCTTGTACTTGGTGAATGAGGAGGCTAAATTTACAGCATTGTCTTTGGTGAATGTATTCTATCATATAAGTAATTTTTTTTTAATCAGAAAGTACACTAAAATAATTGAAAATGTTTTTTAAAATAGTGATTCTGAAATGTACTTCTATTTTGTCTTTCTAATTCAAGGTCCATCTCACCAAGCTTTCAAATTTGAAAACTTCTGTAATTGAATATAATGTTCGAGCTGAAATTTTATCAATGGGAATGGGTACTGATAATCCAGAACATATAGATCAACTTAAAAAACTATGCCAAGAAAGTAAAATGGGAGCCCTTCAAGAGAGCACATTCCAAACCATGTGAGTTAACATTTCATCTTTCTCTGTGTATTTGTTGTTTGAGACCCTGTTTTATATTTTGATAACTAAGATATTGGAATGCTTCCTGTAGTTATCTTACCAAGGCATTGTGTAGTACAGTGGAAACATGGGAGCCCTGGCTTTGAATCCTAGCTCTGCCCCCTCCCTAAGGAACCTTGATCAAGGCTGTATATTTGCCCACTTCTGACAAAAGCTAATCACTTCTTCTCTGTATGCTTAAGTTTCTTCATATGTAAAAGGGGGGTTGTACTAGATGACATCTGAGGCCCCTTTCAGCTCTAAATCCATAGCCCTATCTATGATCTATGATTCTCATAAGGTAAGTACTTTTTAGCTGAAGGACAAAACAGAATTGACATTAGTCTTACTTAACTCATGTAAAAGACTAAAGAATTCCTACTCTAAAACTTTGTAAAAGGTTCTAATAGGTTTCCATCATAAAATATAGTACTCATTGAGCTTTTTAAAAAATTTTTATTTTAAATAAAATAAAAACGTATTTTTTGCAAGGCAGTGATGTGATAGAAACTGTGTAGGATACATGTGTCCAGCTTTAAAGGATTTGGATAAATTTCTTAGGCCTCCTCACATTTGCAGAAATGAGTTTATGCCAATATTATTTTCCTTTTTATCGTGAACAGTAGGGTGTTGGAAAGGATTCGGTTTGATAATAATTTTCTGTTAGTCTAGGCTTCATAAATTAAAATTAAATGTATCATATCTAATTTAACTAAGGAAAGAATTGTTAAAAGAATTATATTTAATTTTATAATAATGGCTAAGAAAAATTATGGGATACCTTGCTCAATTTGGACTTTTATAATGTGTGTACTAATGAAGAAACTCTGAGCTACTCCTCTAACTACATGTTGTAATGTAATATGCCTCATGTGCATTCTTCATCCATCTGGTTTTTTATCTGAATGCCTTTTTAAAAATCTATGTCTTAACCTTTGATAAACATTTACATGGTAGTAATGGCAGTGTGTTCTATTTAGAATACCTCCTTTAACACCCAACAAAAGTAGAGAGGATACAGGTGACCTGCAAAGCTCAGTATCAGATGATGACAAAATTTCAGAAAACAATATTTCCAGACAAGTGAATACAGAATATCAAAAGTCCGGTAAGTACTTATGAAGCAAGTATTTAATTTTCTTGTATCAAATATATTGCTTTTTGCAAAACGTGACTAGTATTTGTGTTACACCTTTTAAAGACATTACAAAAAGGGATGTAGACTTTAACATTTAGTCATTTTTACTTTTTATATCATGACTGGACTAAAGGGTCTTAAAATGACACATAGGGGTTTTATTGCATTTTAATAGCATCTGTGTAGCATTTTACATATATTATCTTATTTGACTCTCCAAATACATCAATCATGCAAGTACTTTCAGTTATTCTTACTATTGACAAAAGAGGAAATGAATTAAGGGACGGTAAGAGACTTGCTATTTGGGGGCAGCTAGGTGGCGCAGTGGATAGAGCACCAGCTGTGGAGTCAGGAGGACCTCAGTTCAAATCCGGCCTTAGACACATAACACTTACTAGCTTTGTGACTCTAGGTAAGTCACTTAACCCCAATTGCCTCCCCAAAAAGGAAAGGGAAAAAAAGGAAAGAGAGACTTGCTCATGGTCACATGTCTAGTATCTGAAGTGGGATTTGAACTCCTCTGGACCAGCCAATCTCTTTTCACTGTATCATGTTGCTGCTTCAAAACTGTTAAGGCTTTTTTTTTTTCCCCTTTAAAGGATTCTAATTTTCACTATTAATAAACATATTAATACTTACCCCATGAATCCTGAGTCATCAGGAAATGTTTGTCCTTTCATTTCATTGTCTTTAGCCTGGATGAGAGTTGTCAGTTGCATGGCACTTAGGTAAATAATAGGGTACGGAAGTTCACACTGTACAGTGAAAGGCATGGTCAATGATAAGCTTATTTTTTTTTCTTTTCATAGAAGTGATATCAGAAAATAGTGGAGATAATTACATTAAAGAAACAATACAGCAGCAGCATAAAAGGTATGACTCCATAATTTTAAAGGGATTTTCTTTAACAAATAAGCATTTACTTAGGTAGTTTTAACATAAATGTACTGCAGCAAGGCAGCTCTCCTATTTCTCCCTGATTCTTTATCTCTCTCATCAAGCCTCAAATACCACTTCTTCCCCCCCATGCTCTCATCTTAGGGTCTCACTTAATACTTAACTGAGAAAATGGAAACCATTCATTGTGAGCTCCCTTTTCTCTGCACCTTAAAACTCCTTGGCATGATCCCCTGTTTTCTCCTGTACTCTGAGTTTGGCCTGACCCTTCTCACTACAACCACCACCTCTATATATACCCTTGGTCCAGTCTCCTCCCTTTGTCCATTGGGTTACCCCCACGATCATTTCTTCAGTTTCTCGCTATTTGTTGCTTCCTTTCCAACTTCAAAAAGCACGTCTACATCTCCTCTTCCTTAAAAAATCCTCAATAGATGCTTCCATTTATCTCAAGCTATCATTCCTATGTATCTTCTTCCTTTCACCGCTAAATTCCTAAAAAAAGCTATCTATACTTGCTCTTCTCTTACTTGTATATCCACCCTCTGCACTATGGCTTCCAACCTCATCACTTGTCTGAACCTGACGTTTCCAAAGTCATCAGTTATCTCTTAATGGTAGAAACCTTCCCACAGGTTGTCTTGGAATACACTCTCCTCTCCATTCTATGTCTTAAGAGTCTCTGGTTTTCTTAAAAACTTAGCTCAAGTACCCCCTTCTTCATGCAGTGTTTATTGATCCCTGCCCACAACTGCAATGCCCCCCCCCAAAAAAAACTACCTTGTAATTATTTTTGTGCAGACTTTTATGTGTACATGTAAGCTCTTTGGGGTCAGAGACTGTTTCACTTTTTAGCTAAAACAGTGCCTGGAACATAATAGGTATTTTTAAAATATTTGTTGGTTAATTGACTAATTGATATCTCTCTCTCTCTCTCTCTCTCTCTCTCTCTCTCTCTCTCTCTCTCT